TTGAAAATGAAAATATCCCCGATTAACTGGGTTCCAAAACTGGAACAAAATCTCGCACTTAAATACGCACTAAACACGGAATAGCGGTAGGTCAAATTTTATGTACACACAATTCTCTTATCAAATTACTGAATTTTATTTACTATACAAAAGTTAATTTGGTTTTTTTTTGTTTTATCTATTTGTCGATTTTTCGACCGTGGTTCAACTGCTTCGTAATCGAAAACAAAAAAAATTCTCCGTCGAAAATTTTTTTTTTCAAAACAAAATAAGTTTTCGCCGACCAAAAAAAAATTTTTTCCCCGCCCAACTTCACAAAAAAATATTCGCGTCAAAATAAAAAAAATATCTCAAAAAAAAATCTGCCACCAAAAAATTTTTTTTCAAACTAAATAAATTTTTTCACCGACCAAAAAAAAATCTGCCAGAAAAATTTTTTTCAAAAAAAAACAATTTTCGCCAGAAAGTAAAAAAAAAGGCAGATAAAATTGATTACCTCTGGACAAAAGGGAAACTCGTCCTGGAAATTTAAAACAACCATTTTATTTTTTGGATCGTAGAGAGGGTGGTTCTTCGGGTATAAATCGGAAATTTTCGGAAATTTCGCGGTATAAATCTTCACTTTTGATTTCGTACTGGAGAATGTCCGTATCAGGATAGAGAAGTTGATATTAAAAATTTGTTTTCATGATATCATAATGAAATTTATACATGTGAAACTTCGCTAATTCAAGAACACTAGCTCCCACAGTTGTCGGCCATCCAGTTTTCGGGCAATAAATTTTTGTTGAATTCGATGTGAACGCTGCCAAATTTTCTCCAAAATTTTTGTAGGATTTGAACTCGAATGCACTAATTTCTCGCAATCCGGCTTGATAATCTCTAACTATGCAAACGAGCATCCGTTTGCGCATTTTTTTGCATAAGCACAATTGTTTAAAGGTTTGTACAAATCCTCCTCAAATTCGTTGCTGGCTTTTTGGCGTTTAGTCGTGTTCAAAGTGATATATGGTTCTTGTTCAAACTTGCTTCTTGTTCAAACTTCAGCACACGGTGCACTTTTCAAACTTTTATTCCTAACCGAACATACAATTGCAAGAGTATGTAATGCAATGTATAGTTCGACTTGTCATGCAACGTCTGTTGTAAGTTCTTGGTTTCACCAATTGAACGTCTTGCAGTTTCTTGATTTCTCATCTGCCCAAGTAAATTTTTCTGGTAGGAGCTCAACCAATCCTGGGGTACTGTTTCTTTGTTAGGAGCTGAAGGGTAATCTTGATGAGTTTCATGAAGTTCTTCTGGGTACTCGAGATCACAATCTAATATAAATCCAATCAGAGAGTCTTCAGACGTTTCAAGGATTTGGTTCAAAATAACCTCGTCTTCTATATGCTCTAATAACTCAAAAAAACGCACCGGTAATTTTTTCCTTTGCATGACGCCGCCATAGAGGTTGTTCGCGTCGATCATGAACCCGTAGGTGCTAGCTTGATCTGGGTTGAAGTCGGGGCGTTCTTTTTTGTTTGCTTTGAAAAAACCACTATGGAACACAGATGCAGCGCCACCTCGCATCATATTCTCGACCACTTCGAGATGCCTGTGGTTTGATATGAGCTGAACATTTGAGTCTTTTGCGATACGTTGGAAGGCGTCTCCAGCTAAGTTGGAAGCAATAAAATGGTGCGCACAGTCCAGGCCATAAGTTGTGATAATCCTCCAAACTCGGACATTTAAACTCTCTAAAAACTTTCCTTGCATGTTCCAGATCCGCTTCTGTAACTGAACTTTTCCTCCATTCAAAGCATCGGACCAATGTTGCAAGGAATTCAGTTCTTTTTCTGCAAATTATCCTCTATTAGCCATGTACGAATAAAGGTAGAAACCTTTTTGTCGTATCAGACATTGCTCCTCCGTCTCGTTTGCAAAATACTCGTTTAAAATCAACATTTTTTGCACTGGTAGATTATCAACCAATTTGTGCAAGGAAGAATTTAAGAATTAGCATGAGTCAATGAACCTGAGGTACTCAAAAACTTTTTGATTAGTTCCGTTCTTCCTTTTTATTGTTTTATTTAGGACTCCAATGCTTAGCGATATATATTTTTTGTCGGTGCTGGGTATAACACTCATTGTATTGGTTGGCTCGCACTCATGCAATGCGAGACAAATGCGTTGAAGATCATAGTTCTGGATGTTATGTCCAATGACTGGGGTAAAATTCACAGTTCGTCTTGCTAGATTGCATTTTTCATGTGACCATCCCAGATATTTTCCAGAAAAACCACAATGGTCAAGACATTTTTCTTGCTCATTGGTAAAATGTATACAGCAAATCCAACATGTTGATGTTTTTTCTTTGTTCAACGATTCTTGACTTCCAAGGAAATGAGGAAACCGTCGCTTTTGATCTTATATCTCTCACGCTAATTGATGCAACTGGTTGAGAAACTTTTTCATGCATTGCTCAGAGCTGTCATAGTCAAAGAAGTAGGACTGTGAGTTTTCGTGGTCAATTACAGCCCCTGAGTATCCACAAGCTTCATGTTTTTGTAGCACCCGGATTCATGATTGCGATGGATTATCAGGGCACGAATGTACCGTTTTTAAAAAAGATTCAAAGTCGAAGTAAATCACAAGTGGTACGAACTACAAGGCCTGAAGGTTTTTGAACTCGTATCGGTTGGTACTTTTTTCTGCTGAAAGCATGACTACTAGGGCAGGCTCATGATCCTTACAAGAATGGATGTGTTGCTCATGAGCTTCTTCACTCCAGCTAATGTGAAAACAGTTTCTACATAAGCGCCTGCATGGACGATGCCTATATCCTTTGATTTCACAGATCAACTTTAGTAAATCGGTTACAAGTACATAATGATGCCTTGCAGGCTCGTACAGGGGAAGTAGGTCCATGTCAAATATCTCATTTTCAATGTTGCTATCATTGTTCGGTCGTTTTGATTTATACGTACGCAACAAGTCTCCCTTTTGATACTGGAATACACTTACCCGCACATCGTTGAGTTGTTCAAAATTTCCAAGTGATGCAAAACTCAGGGGTGAATCAAAAGTAGCTTGGGCTGTGTGTGCACTTGCAGCAAGGTATGTGCCAGGTTGTGTTCGCGCAGCCGCTGGGTTCGCTTTTTGTTGATCAGTCAGAAGTAGGTCAATACCAGGCTTCAGACTATACGCAGCCGTAAAGCAAAGTTGGAAGCAATTATGATCGTGGTTTTGTAAGAATCGATACAAAACCATACTCAAATCGATCTGAATCATAAATACTGACCTACCGATCCCAAATACTGACCTATCGATCTGAACTTTGATCTCAAATACTGATGCCATCCCAAAAACTGACCTAAGTCGGCGATATACTGTGTGTTGTGTTTCCATACACTCTCAACTCAATGAATACAAATACTGAAACTATTCGGCGTTATGCTTCCAAAATCAGTATTTGGGATTGACGCAATCCCAAATACTGACCTAATTCGTCAATGTGCTGTGTCTTTCATACACTCCCAACTCAATGACTCCAAATATTGAAATTGTTCGGTGTGGTTTTTCCAAAACACTAAAAGATGACATCCACCGATTTAGGTAACCAATGTTTCAAGAATTGTTTGTGGATTCCGCTGACAATTGTTAAATTTTGCTTTTAAATTCAATTCTTTGCTTTTAAAGAATTCCAGCTCAGCTTTTAATTGTTCATATGCGAGTTCAGTATTGAACAAAATTCGGAATTCACTTACACTTTGCGCAATCCACTTATAGTTGCGGAATCCAGAACAACTAGCTATATTTGCTTGTTGCGGAATCCGCAACAAAACAAATGTGCTGACAAAATTTACGTTACTAAAACACTAAAAGATGACATCCACCGATTTAGGTAACCAATGTTCCAAGAATTGTTCGTGGATTCCGCTGACAATGGTTAAGTTTTGCTTTTAAATTCAAGTCTTTGCTTTTAAAGATAAGAATTCCAGCTCAGTTTTTAATTGTTCATATGCAAGTTCAGTATTGAACAAAATTCGGAATTCACTTACAGTTTGCAGATTCCACTTACATTTGCGGATTCCACTTACACTTTGCGGAATCCACTTACAGTTGCGGAATCCAGAACAACTAGCTATATTTGCTTGTTGCGGAATCCGCAACAAAACAAATGTGCCGACAAAATTTACGTTACAAGTATATGTATGCGGACTCCACTGAAATTTTGTTTGTGGAACGCACTTTCATTTTGGAACATGTTTAAATACTTGTCTGTGGAGTCCAGGAACATACAGACACAAAGTTGTGCTCCTATCCAGTGCACAGTTTGGCCTCATAATGAAGTTTAAAGAACAACAAAGTCAGTCGGTTGCTTTTGGAAATAATACAAAACTCCGACCGCAATAAAAACACTCAAAATTCAAAACGTGTGTCAGTGATAAATTTTAAATTGTATCTGTTTTTGTGGTGCGATGAGAGGAACTGTACGAAAGCCTAGTAGCATTGTTGTTAGTTAAAGTAAATTAGGCATATTGGACATCTTTTTTTTCGCAAAAATGAGAAGAAAAACCATAAACACCAGAAAAAAAGTTATAAAAAAGGCGCTAAAAGAAACCAATTTTTCACGGCAGAAGTCAAACTAAGATTTTGCGGCTTCAATAAAAACTTATGCTCCTTTTAAAAGCCTGCTTACTCGCTTTTTTTTCGATTGAAATTAGAAGGAAGATCAAGAACTTCATACCTGTTCTTCTCGGCACTGAATCAACACTGAAAGAGACTTAATATAATAAATCACTGGTTGCATTCCGATCATTATCTGTGGTACCTGATTTGATTTTAAAAAAAAAACTTTCAATTTAAAAAAAAATACTAGAAGGCAAAACTTTTCACCACTCTCAGTTATCGAAACAATAACGATGTGATCGCATCAACAATGATTTCAATAGTTTGAACGTTATCTCAGAGTTAGCTCTCGCAAGGAGTGGAACAAAATCTGTAGTCTAACTGAC